TTTTCAAAATTTTTTGAAAAGTATTTGCTGTACGGATTCGTTATTTTACTTGAGTTGGACCTAAAAACGGTTGAGTTGGATTCAGCATGAAATTCTGCATCGAATGATATCGATTTAGTATGGGGTCATTGGGAAAAAATTTTTCATATGGGTGAGGGTGAGAGTCACTATGAGGGGGTGTGGCTGGGTGAGGTGGAAAATTTTTGCTCGATGACCCCATACTAAACCGATATCATTCGATGCAGAATTTCATGCTGAATCCAACTCAATCGTTTTTAGACCCAACTCAAGTAAAATAACGAATCCGGACAGCAAATACTTTTCAAAAAATTTTGAAAAATTCAGTATTTCGGGGTCAAGTGCTAGTTTTTGCTCGATGACCCCCCTTGATCATTACACCATTGGATTTGCCGTAAAATTCTGCACCTAACTTAAGTTGAACGAAATATAACTCAAGTACACGAACGAATCCGGACAGCAAAAGCTCGAATCTGGTGCTAACTTTACCCACGTCTCATAGATTCAAGACGTTTGCTATGTTTTACTTCAATATATTTGCAACCACAAAGATTCATACCCGATATACTAGAGAAGAGTTTTTTTTTTTTTATAAATATTTATTTTTATTCAAATATCTAAACACATTTATTATGTTTCGTTTTTTTTTCTAAACTTACCTGAATATGAATATAAATCAAAGTAATAAAGAGAAAAATGTAGTCATATTATCTATTGTTTTAAGTATGACAATCTATATCAAAAAAACTAAATCAATTAGATTTATTTATTGAAACTTTTTCCAAAGTTAAGATTATATATAAAAACTCTCTCTTAAACAATAATTTTCTGTCTTTTATGCACTTTTAAACATTTAGAAAATTCTTTCAAAATTATTGGCCATAGTTATTCAATAGAATATCATCAAAATGGAAATAAGTATGCTCAAATCAGATACTTATCGGATCTTATAAGAATTAAAACAAAAATAAAGTAGAATCGATTAGTTGAATATGACATTTCTACTAAAGATGGTTACCAATCAATAGATAAAATAATTCGAATGAAAAAACAAGAAAAGGTTGATTACCAATTGTCGTCTAAGTATTGGCATAAATCTGACAAGTTTAAGTACACGTAATAATCTAAATGTACGTAAAAACTGATAAACCACTATTTTTAGTTCCTTGTAATTTAACAAGACTCATAATAACGATAGGACTATCAAATAAATTATAAGCATTTTTAATATATTGAAGACATCCATCAACAATTATTTTTAAAATAATTTTAATAGCAAATAATGATGTAAATACTAAATTCCTATATTCTAATGCATCTGTTAATGATTGAGATTGTTCATGATATTTAATATCCATTGATAATGTATTTATGACAATAGTTGATAATACAATACGACGAAAATATTTTCCTGCAACCAAATTTAATATAGATTTTTGAAATTTATTCCAATAAGACCATATAGTATATTGACATTTTTTATTTTATTATCATCATCATCATCTTGTTCTTCTTTATTAATAGTTAATTTTTCATTTTCAATATATTGACGATACTAATCACATCGATTTTCTTCAAGATATTTTTCTGTATTTTCAAAATCTAAATAATTTGATTTAATTACAGTGGGCGTCATAAGTCTCGTCCCACTTTTGTATTTTGAGTCGTCCATTTGAACTAAACAACGTTGATTTAATTTGATTATATATTCTTGTAGCGGAGATCGAGCACTATCTGTATATACCTGTTCCATACGGAAAACTCTCGGAATGTAAAATAAAATAGGCAAAGCAATCTTCAGTCCTTCGAAAAAAATGACACAAAAAAAGACAAAGTGATATTGTTATCACATGCACAGTCAACTACAAAATAAACGAAGTATTGAGAAAAGTTCTTCATTTATCATACTTTGTAGAGCTTTTTGTGCTGATTATTTTCATAAAAAAATATTTTAAATTTCATG